GGTTCTACTATTTTGGAGATGTCATTGTTAAGGATTGGCAGATTGTAGAGGATGTTTAGTAGCTTTATGTAGCTGTAGTGCATATGTAGGTTTAGTATGTGATATTTTGTTGATTAATTTCTAACCAATTAGTATTGTAAGCGTTTAATATTAGTAAATTATAATTAGGGAATTGTTTTGATTTGTTGATAATAAACCCATTCGAAATTCTACTGATCATAATTTTAGCAGTGTAGTTATCTCAATTAAATGTCACCTTGTCACATCTCCAATAGGAACAAATATCCTCTAAACTTTTCTTTATCGCTTTTATACATACGCATATTGTTATCACGCGGTAACCAACTTTAACAATTTTGTTACGCGCGTGTCGCCCTGCGGCCCCCCCCCCCCCCCCCCCTCCCCGCACACCTGCGTTTGCTTACCGCACACCCGAGTTCGCTTCCCGCACACCCGATTTTGCTTCCCGCACGCTTGTGCATGCTTCGCGCACACCTGAGCTCGCCTACCGCACACTCAGGGTATGGGGGTGACGGGTATGGGGGTGGCGGGTGTGCGCGGTCCCCTGCTCCTCCTCCTCCTCCGTCTCCCACTGCTGCAGCTGCCGCTGAGGGGGGTGGGTGTGTGGGAGACGAAGGAGTGGTGCTAGGGGGGTGTGTGGGAGTAGAGCTAGTGGTGTAGCAGTGGGTGTGTATGAGGGGGGTGGGACTGTGTGCGGGAGGATGAGTGGAGGTTGCCAGTTTGTCGTCAGCAACACCTGTATTCCGGGGGCTTCGCCCGGTAGCCCAGTCGTAGCCAGCTGTGCCAGCCGCCCGTGGGTCCGTTGCTCGTCTGCCGCTACTTTAGCCGCGGGGCCAGTTACTCCAGTAGTCCGGGGGCGTCGCCCGGTAGCCGCTGTGCCAGTGTGCCTCCTGTTGCCCGTGTGTCTGCAGCTTCAGCTGTCGCCTCCCAACTCCTCTCGCTCTCACTCCTCCTCCTCACTTGCCCGTTGTGACCACCACTAGTTTTGCTTATAATTGTGAACTATGAACTATTTCTTCTTGAACTTGTGCTCAGAATGTGTGGTGACATTGTGATCCACCCTGAGCTTGTTTTGTTTTGCCTGCACTGCTGATTACACCCCACTTTGGCTATGGGGGTGTGTCAGAATATTATCTTATTGTTCTAGCCTGTAGTGGGGTGCTCTATAGCGAGTACAACCCTTCTAGGGTTTGCTATTTGTATCCTCATTCTTGCTAGTTCAATCCTCTTTCTTTCTTCTAATTTTGACACGTCATTCCACCACCACCCCTCTCCGCCTCCTGTTTGTACCACCCCTTCTAGTACCCGAGCGATGTCTAGCTCGTTCCCATGGCACCTCCTGGAGACCCTTACGAAGCTAGTGGTGGTGATGGAGACCCGTCTAGTAGCACCAGGCCTAGGACTGGCCTCGATTTCTTGCGAGGCCATGTTACAGAAGCTGCACCCAACCCTTTGCCAGAGACGTATGTTGACAGTGAGGGGTGGCACTATCCCGTGCGCAAAGTTCCGCCACAGTCACCATCGCGGCAGCAGGAGCAAGACAACGATGACGATGCGGACACCGTCGTCCGCGACCACGTGGTAACGACGGAGATCGTTACGGAAGCACCTGAATCTTCTAACTCGGTGGCGCTGAAACGACCCCGCTACATGCAGACGACCATTGGGTTTGGCACCGGCACGCCTCTCGTGAGACCTCCTCCTCCGCCACCTTCCACTGTTACTCCCGCGCCATCTCCTCTCAAACTGACTGCCTCGGAACGCAATGCTGCGAAGTTCCTGGAGGCTCAGCGAAACTACATCACGAAGTGGCTCCCGCAGTTCGACTGGCTATTGCTCGACAAGGGTGAGGATGGGCTGCCTCGTTTGCGTTGCAGTGTGTGCAGTGAACATGGCCCAGACAACGCACGTTACGGGAGGAATGGTTGCGGTGGACGCGACTTGCAGCCAGCGTCTATGCGTGCGCACCAGGCAAGCACTCGCCACGAGGAGTGCATCGACCGTCAGAAGGGGCTTCTCGACAAGCTGGCGGCGCAGAAGAAGATAGACGACTACGAGAGAGCCGACCCTGAGAGCGCGCGCGTGGTCAGGCTCATGCGGAGCATTCAGTTTGTGTGCGACGAGGACGCGCCGATCTCAATGTTCCCGCGCCTCGTGGAGTTTCTGGCCAGGGAGGGTATTTCGGACATCCCTAAGCAGGGCTACGGCGTTTACATCACTGAGTGAGTACAGGGCGGGTATCCCATGTAGAGGATGTGATCACAACCTCGTCGATGACTAATCTGTGTGTGCGCTTCTTGCAGGTACGGTTTCCAGGAGATGGTGAAGGCAATGAGCTCCTATCAGCAGCAACAACAGCTCATGCACGTACACGCGTCACCTTGGATCGGCAGCAGCTGTGATGAGAGCACGGACAGAGCGCGCGGGAAGCATCTGGTGGTGTTCGTGACTTTCCTGAAGCATCGTCAGGTGGCGACCGAGTTCTTTGCGCTGCTGACGGTCCACAAGTGTGACGCTGCTTCAATCTTCACCGTCCTGCTGGCCCACTTGGAGACTGTTGGCATAATTCTGCAGAGGATCGCCGCCATCAGCACAGACGGCGCGGGTGTGATGGTTGGCTGCGAGAGGGGGCTTGTGGTGCGCCTCCGTGAGCGCATCCCTCATCTTGTCGGCACGCACTGCATCGCACATAGGTAAGTGTCGTTTACGTTCAACACATACTGCTCAATCCTACTTGTAAAAGTGTCCTAATGCTAAACGTTTTATTGTGCAGAGAAGCACTAGCTGTGAAGGAGTCGGCGCTGAAGTACAAGGACCTGGACATCGTCGATGCTGCAATCCGAGGGCTTGGCGACATCGTCACCAAGTCTTCCGTCTGGCATGAGCGGTTCAAAGAGCTGCAGCAGGAATTTCACAAGACAAACCTGGAGCACCAGGGGCTTTTTGACGTGAGGTGGCTGTCGCGTGGAGATGCTGTGCAGCGGCTGTGCAAGGTCCTCGGTGCGGCGGTCGTGGTGTTCATCGAGTACGGCCACAAGTTGGCCGCTACGCTTCAGACGCTGAAGTTCCACTTCTGCGTATACTTCTTGGCGGATCTACTTGCAGAGATCAACGCCCTCAACAAATTCTTCCAGCGACGGAAAGTAAGTGATTCATGTGTTGCTGGTTCGTGTGCGTTCGCTTTGCCAAAATTGAATAATGTTTTAACGCAATCTCATTGTACCCGTGGTTATCTCAGGTTGACATCACGCTCGTGCACCAGGTGGTGGACCGCACGATCTCTTGCATCAGGCTGCGCTACGTGGAATACGACAACGGTTTCGGAGGGGGAGTCAGCAACCTGCTGTCGCCCTTCATCGCACGTATGGCCAATGGGAAAAGGAAGATAAAGTGGACGGCGTGGATTCGGAGGGCGAGCCAACATCGCATGAGATCGTGCTGAGCGAGGAGCCGATAAAAGGACACAAGTTCGGCGGCACGATGGCCGACTGCATCAAGCTCTGTAAGGCGTTTGCGCTGGAGGTGGCGACAAATCTGCACACACGCATGTATAGCCTGAAGGACATGGAGGGCAGCAAGCTGTACAAGGTGGAGACGTGGCCAGAAGCGACAGACAAACGGGAGCGACGGGTCGTACAGTGGCTGGATTCCAATGCGCGTGTCTTCTTGAACAGGCTGCCAGGTGTGTTGATGCGTGCGTGGCAAAAAACTCCCGTCCAAGTGCTGTTTGCATGTGCGAAGTCGGTAGACTAATGATTGTGCCTTTTGTCTTATGTTCACGTGGCAGGCTTCAACCACCGAGCGGCGGAGATGGAACTGAAGTGCTTCTGCCACGTCATGTCGCGACACTACGAGGATGAGGACTTCTACCAAGGGCTGTCGAAGATGCTGAAGACCAAGGACTGGCCACGCAGCTTCCCCAACCTGGTGTCGATGTGGCAGGCGCTCGCAGTGATTCCGTTGAGCACCGTGGAGTGCGAGCGCGGATTCAGCCGCCAAAACGTTATCAAAAGCTGGATGCGCACATCGCTCGGCGACGCCCGTCTATCCGAGCTGATGACTCTCAACATGCTTGACTATGAGTACAAATGGGCCGACGTGGTCGACATCTGGCGGAAGCAGAAGAAGAGGAGACCCGCTAAATCAACAGCTCCATACAATCGCAGTGTTGGAAAGGGCATGGCAATAGGGGAGTCGTCTGATAGCGAGGACGAGCATGATGGATATTGAGTGACTAAAATTTGATTGTTTAATTGATCACGTGTAATAAAAAAAGTCCTAGCCTGCATGCATCAGTGCACATCACGTAACTACACTGACGTCCTAGTGCAAATTTTTAAAAAGTTGATGTTACACTGCTCTATCAGTGTACGGGAAAAACTCACACTGCTTGCAAGTGTTTTCAAAAACCCCACACTGCCAATCGGGAGTAGGCAAAAACGAAACCTGAGCCCTGGAGAGGGCCTTCTTTTCGTTTCCGAAAGTAACAAACTAGATTGCTCGCCCCAACTGACATGCAATGCGCAACTTACACATTTCAATCGCCTCGCAGGTTGGTTTCGGCAGTGTGCAGGTTGACTGCAGGGTGTTTCTGTTGCCCCACAATTACCCCCCAGTATTGAAAGCAGATTGACAGGACTCCCGAAAACGGGAGTCACCAGGAAGGCTTCCAGCTAATTGCTGGAAGCCACATTTCTTCGTGCGATGAAGATACGTCGAAATTATGTATGAGTGGAATTATCACAGTAGAAACCATGGTAAGGGAATGTATTTCGTTGTGATTAGAGAAAGGTAGTAGAGTGCTTGCGTCTTCATTCAACCGCGTTATATTATGGTATGGGGATTTCAAATACCGTATTCAGCAATGAAATTTAATGCAATGCACCAGGCGATGATGCAAAGCACAAGGCATCTGCATGTGGCTCCTTGGCCAAAATCTGACCGTTGGCTTGCCTCAGCCTGCATGCCAGAAATGAATCTCACACCCCCGCCATGAGCACAACCATCAGCAGCGGCAGAACTGCCACAGCCAGAGAGGCTCCAATCCGCCCAGCAGCCTTAGGGGGAGGAGGAGAGGGGCTGGGGACAGCCGGAGGAGGAGAGGGGATAGGGCCAGTGGGAGGAGACACAGATGGGGGGGACGGAGACACGACGCTTGGGGGAGGAGCACCGGTAATGGGTGCTGGCGGGGAGGGGGTAGGCGGAGAAAGGGCAGGGGCGGGAGGGGAGGGCGCATGAGTAGGAGGGGGGAGCGACGGAGCAGGAGGGGAGTGGTAAGGAGTGTCGATGTCATCGGTGTAAGGTTCAAGGAGAGGCCGGGTGGCGTTGGAGTAGGGGAAGTCAGCGCAGACGGCCGGGTCGAGGGGGCGGCCCGACACGCCCTTGGCGGCCGTCATGTTGACCGCACCGGGCGGGCAGGTGGCCGGGATGGTGAGCGGGTCGCAGCAGAGAGGGGTGACAGGGATCGACGTGTTATTCTTAGAGTAGCAGTTGGTGTCCTGAACAGGGCGGTGGGTGGTGGGGGTGGGAGGTGGGTGGTGGGCATGACAAGTTGAAGCAGCAGCAGTGAGCAGCGGCGCACGGGAGAAGCTGGCGAGGTAGCGTTGCACAGCATGTGCGTGGCAAAGGCGAGTGAAGCGAGCGTGCGTGCAAGCTGCTCCGATGTGAAAGCGAGCGACCGGATTGACTCCCCGGGAGTGGTACCATGACCATGGCTCGACCCGCAAATGGACTCACCGAGAAGGTGGCGTTGAAGCCAGGGATCTGCTGAGCGACCAGCGGCACGATCACCCCCTGAATTATATCCTCTGCTGTGAAAAACTGGTCGGCCAAAAAGGTTTCCCCCACTGCACGCGCGAACCACAGCAAACCGCAACAAGACAAGAGAAGGGAGACCAGACGGATATCAACATGGAAAGGCACCAAAGGAAAGTCGAAAAGCGCGACACGAGCATAACCACAGTAACAAGCGAAACCACTGTAACATGCGAAACCACAGTAACAAGCGAAACCACTGTAACACGCGAAACCACTGTAACACGCGAAACCACTGTAACACGTGAAACCACTGTAAGACGCGAAACCACTGTAACACGCAAAAGCACTATAACCCGGGAACGCAAGTCTGACCTCTTATCATGTAGCAGGCGCCGTAGATCACCACCGTGTAGTCGTCCCCACAGATGCGCAGCATGTACTTGCCGGGCTTGCCCGTGAGGTAGCTGCCAGAGTCTGCCACACACGGGTGAGAACGAGGGAGCAGAAATGGGGGGTGCGACGGGGGGAAATACGGGGCGGAAAAGGTAGAGGAAGGCGGGGAACGGGCGTGGTAAGGCGGGGGGAAGGCAAGCAGTGGCTAGCGGCTGCGGATTTATTGGCGCAGAGCGTTGAACGGAAGGAGTGGGATTCGTGGTTGGATATGCACTGTTTTTGTTGGAGTTGGTTTGGTGTGCTGGCTGTCTCACCGGGATTGCTGTCTCACCGGGATTGCTGTCTCACCGGGATTGCTGTCTCACCGGGATTGCTGTCTCACCAGGGTTGCACTACACGGCGCACGCGAGTTGCTCCACGATTTGCACGCACATCTCATGACCCTTCATGAAAATACCAATCTGCACGCACGAAACGCACGCGAGCACACACACATACACGCACAGGACAAGACTGCTTGGTTCCTTTCCCAAAGCAGGTGCAGCGTTGAACGAACGCTGACCAAAATGCATGCAGGCAGGCACAGATGCTTCGATTACATTGATACATCCTTATCATCGCGCGACCACTCACGCTAGCCGGCACGTCCTTAGGGGAGATGTCGGCAAACCCCACAGTGGGCCACACCGCGGCGGTAACGTTAACGCCGAGCGCCTGAACGGCGAAGTTAAGGTCGGCGCAAGCGTCGGGGCAGCACGACAGGTGCGACACTCCCACACACCGCGTGGGGGGCACTGTTGGCTTCGTCGGTGGCTTGCCGGTCAGCGGACAGTTGGGGTACGTCGCTGCATTGGTGGACGGCAGCAGAAGAGCCGCCGCCAGTAGCGCCGCGAGAAGCTTCGCGATGAAGCGACTCGAAGAATTCCTGGCCCGCATGATGATAGTGGTCATGATCATGGCGAGTGCTGAGAGCTGGACGACCCTCGACGCAGGTCAGCTCAGCAGCAGGCGGCAAACCGAAACTACTACCACACTTGGGCTAAAACCAGATGGTGAGTAGACATGAGGGAGGGACCGCGGATCCGGCTGACTTTTGCCGGGTGCGTATGTGCTGCTCATGATGGGCGAGGTGAGAGCAGCGCAGGGCCGCACTGACAATATGAGCCGGCAAGGCTCTCCGCCGACCGAACCGCCAATCTTATCCACGCCCTACTGGGCGCTCGTTAGTCGCACACGGCCTTTCCCTTATCGAATCGACTGAACCAAGCAGGGGCTTTTCGTCTACCTCGTTACCTTCGCCACCAGAAAAATTGGGGCGCGTACGTTTTCACAGAATACTGAAGAATAGACGGATGGCACTACAATGCGCCAGGCGAGGGATAGTGTAAGGAAAATCACTTTTCCTTACTTCGCATCCCTGCTCAACGCGTACATCACTGTAGCACCTCAGTCAGCACCGTTACCACTCGCGATCATCGCATCATTCATCATCCCGCCATTTTCGCACATCGCATCCCGACCTCACGGCTCGGCTGGTAACCCGCGCTCCGGGCCTACGCTTCGACACTTTCCCAACCTCAGTCCCAGGCTCGTCGCGCGACCATTACCGTTACCACTGTAGTTTCGCTATATATTCTTCGCTCATGCCTTCGCTCATTGTACTCTTGCTTCGATAGTGCAATTCTCGTTCGTTCACTCAATTGCACTCGTAACACTTGGTATTCAGAGCCTACGATCTCCTCTCGGACCGCATCCACACCTTCGCTTCCCACTATCTCAATTTTTGGGGGGGGGGGTAGACGTCTCTCAGCGATACAGCACCGCCGCTCGTAGTGCTCTCTTGCAAGCACGCACGGCCACGACCGAGGCTCTCGCTGAGCTTGCCCGACACCCCCGCCATGGCCGATTTCACGCTCGCCACATTGACGCAAGAGCAACTTGATCGTCTCGTGCGTCAACTGAAGGACTCGGCGCTCGAAATCGCGACTCTCACGGCGGAACGTGACTCCGCCCGTCAACAGTCCACAGTGAACATACCGACGACATCTCACGCACCAACAAACGCATCTGCACATTCGGATGAGCCGATTGTCATCTCGTCCGGCACACCAACACAACACGACAGCACGGGACAGCGCTCAGGCGCAGCCAGTGAGGGCGCCGCCCAGCCGATGCCTGGCATGGGAGGAAACAGGAGCGCACCAAGCCCACGGGAGCCCCGAGGAGCCCGTCGGCACGTGGAATTTGCGGCGACAAGTGGCGAAAACGCCATCATGGCACCAATGCCGCTCAAGCCGCAACGCCCGCCCTGCTTCGACCCAAGCCAACGCGGCGGTCCGACGGTTCAATCGTGGGTCTTCACGATGAACGTCTTCTTCGACGCAAATTACGTCGAGTCGGACGCCGCAAAGATCCGGTATGCAGTTTCACTGCTGAGGGGCCCCGCCATGGACTGGTGGCGAATCATCGTGACGTCGCCACGCGCCTACGAGCCACCGTCGCACGAGGAAGGGCCCTCGGGTCCAGCTGTCACCTGGAGTTCGTTCTGCGAGACCGCCCAATACAGCACGTGGGATGCGTGGTGCGCAGGGCTTCGGGCGCGCTTTGAGCCGATCGCGGCTTCAATTTCGGCGCGTCACAAACTGCGCACTTGGCGCCAGCTCGGGTCAATTGAAGACTATACCAGCGGTTTTCTCACACTTTGCGAGCAGGTCGGCTACATGCACGAAGCGGAGCGGGTGGACCGTTACGTCGGCGGGCTAAAGCCGGACATCTCGCACGAGATAATGCTGCGCGGACTCTCTAACTTCAACGAGATTCTCGCGCTCGCCGAGAAGATCGACATTTTACGCCGACCGAGACCGGGGTCCTATTACGGACATCGTCCTCGGGGACCGACCGAGCACGCCACTGTACACGCCGTCGCAACGAATGCAGCTGCCGCACCGTTTAAGGGGCGCTGCTTTGCTTGCAACAGGCCGGGCCATCGCAAGAGCGAATGCCCAGAGGAGCTGAGGCGCCGAGGAGCAGAGCAAGGGAGGGAGTCTTAGAGGCAGGGAAACGCCAGCAGTCAGTAGAAGTCGGGCCAACTACTGACGAGACTGCCTGCTCGCCCAACCACACCGACCCTCACCGAGTCACAGTACCGATTCACGCCATCGATCGGGCTCGGATGAATAAGGAGGGTACAGCGACGGATTGCCCAGTACTGATCTACGGGAAAATACAGGGAGCAATAGTGAAGATTTTTATTGACGGAGGAGCAATTCACAGCTTAGTTAATACCGCGACCGCACGGAAATTACAGTTAACACTTAACCGATGCTTACCTGAGATAGATGCACGCTTAGTCGACGGCACGCCACTGGCTATACGGGAAAAGGTGGAGAGAGTAAAAGTCCGCTGCGGAGGGAACTTCGGGTTTACACAGGAAATGCTCGCAACGACACTGGATGGACACGACATTTTATTGGGACGTGATTGGCTGCGACGGTATAACCGACGAATTGACTGGACGACGGGTAGGTGCACAGTACGAAGTAGTGGTAACTGGGTCGTCCTACCTCGCTGGCAGCCACCCGAGTCTTCGACGGTCCAGGTCAACGCCATCACGATGAAACGGGATGTCGCTGCTGGAGCTGACGTGTACGCAGTGGATATCGCATTAGTGGAAAAAGAGGAGCAGCCGAGCGATTTTCAGAAACTGTTGGCAGCTGTACCGCCCGAACAGCAGGCACTACTGAAACGGTTCCCGGGTATCTTTCCGGATGACTTACCACAAGGGCTGCCACCTCAGCGGGCGCATGACCATAAGATCGAGTTAGAGCCAGGGGCACAGCCAACCGTACAGCGCCAATTTCGACTGACACAGCCCGAGCTCGACGAGCTAAGGAAGCAGTTAGATTACCTGTTAGAGAAGCAGTTTATCCGACCGAGTTCGTCACCGTTCGCCGCACCAATACTGTTCACACCGAAAAAAGACGGAGGATTTCGCATGTGCACCGACTACCGAGCGCTTAACAGGGTAACAGTCAAATCGCGGTACCCCATCCCCCGCGCCGACGAACTGATCGACCAGCTGAGAACCGCACGAGTATTTTCGAAAATAGACTTACGGGGGGGTTACCATCAAATTCGGGTCGAACCATCGGACTGCGCCAAGACAGCATTTAGGACTAGGTACGGGTCATTCGAGTACACTGTGATGCCTTTCGGGCTGACCAACGCGCCTACAACATTTCAGATGACCATGAACGAGGCGTTTAGGCCACTTTTAGATAAATGCGTGATAGTTTACCTCGACGATATCCTTGTTTACAGTCGGGACCAGCAGCAGCACTTAGTAGATCTCGAAGTAGTTTTTAACATTTTAGAGGCACATCGGTTACTCACCAAGGGCTCCAAGTGCGAGTTTTTTCGGGACAGGCTAGAGTTTTTAGGTCACGTCATTTCGGAGGCTGGGGTTGAGATAGACCCTAAGAAACTGGATACCGTAAAAGCATGGCATCCCCCGACGAACATCACGGAACTGCAGAGTTTTTTAGGGTTTGTTAATTACGTTCGTCGGTTCGTCCCCGACATGGCACGCTTAACGGCCCCGCTCACTGATTTACTGCGTAAGGGGGTCCCTTTTACGTGGGGGGAGAAAGAGCATGCTGCCTTCTCTGCCCTGAAAGATGTTCTCTGTTCACCACCCATCCTACGCATCGCTGACCCACACCGCCCCTTCGAAGTTGTTACCGACGCAAGCGACATCGCCATCAGAGCTGTACTGTTACAGGACTTCGGCAACGGCCTCCAACCCATCGCCTACGAATCACGCAAACTACATCCACCTGAGCGAAACTACCCGATACACGACCGCGAAATGCTCGCGATCGTGCATACCTTCAAAGTGTGGCGCTGCTACTTGACCGGCGCAGACGTAACAGTACGGACAGACCATCGATCCCTACAGTACCTCCGTGCACAGCCCCACCTCAACCCACGACAGATTCGGTGGCTCGATTTTCTCGAGTCGAATTTCCACTATACGGTCACATATAAAAAAGGAGCCTCGAACATCGCCGACGCACTGACCCGCCCCACTGCCCAAATCCATGCGATACTACTCGCCCAGACCAGCCCGTTACTGACAGGACTATTTACCCACAGATATGAAACAGACCCATTCTTCACAGGAGGAAATTCGCAGCAATTCGCAGCAGCCAAGGGAGTCTATTACGTAAAAGCTGGAACCGACCGCATCTGGGTACCAGGATACACGCTACTACGGGAACTACTGTTACAGGAGGCACACGACGGAGTTACCTCGGGACATTTCGGAGTAGAGAAAACACGGCAGCAGCTGCAGCGGTACTACTACTGGTCGGAAATGTTGACCGACGTGCAACGACACGTGGCATCGTGTCCCACTTGCCAGCTCATGAAGTCAAGCAGGAAGCGGCCGGCGGGACAATTACAACCAATCCCACCTCTAGAGCGTGCTTGGCAGCAGGTGACGATGGACTTCGTCATGGGGTTACCGGCCGGGGCGAGTGGGAATGACTCGATCCTGGTCGTCGTCGATCGACTGACGAAAATGGCACATTTCGCAGCCTGCAAGAAGTCAATCACAGCCGAGGAAACTGCCCGACTCTTCATCACCACCGTCGTTCGACTGCACGGGATACCGGCGTCGATCATCAGCGAAAGAGACACGAAGTTTACCACTAATTTCTGGCAGAACCTGTGGCAGCAGTTCGGCACGCGACCACAATTCAGTTCATCGTATCACCCTGAAACCGACGGACAGACAGAGCGGACAAACCAGACCATGGAGCAGCTGATTCGAGCCACGTGCGACGATCCAAACACGTGGGAACAGCAGCTGCCTCTCATCGAGTTCGCATACAACAACGCGCCATCTGCCACGACCCAACAGTCGCCATTTTACTTGAACTACGGACAGG